TGATTAGTTACACTGAGTGCTGGCAGTGAGGAGTAGCTGTGCAGAAACTGGTTGTGATCCTCTGTGTGAGACAGCTGCTCCAGCTCAGCGTCTCTGCTCTTCAGCTCAGAGATCTCCTGCTCCAGCTTCTCCTGAAGCTCTTTGACTCGACTCACTTCCCTCTTCTGCTGGGATCTGACCTGCTGCTTCACATCAGAGCTTCTCCCCTGCATTATACGGATCAGCTGGGTGAACATCTTCTCACTTTCCTCCACTGCTTCATCAGCAGAGCGACTGATGGCCTCCGCCTCCTGCTGAAGCAGCTTCACATCTTCCTCTCGCTCCTGGATTCTCTGCTGGATGTTTTGTCGACTCCCCTCCAGCTCTCTCTGCCTCTCAGTCATCTCTGCTGCAGCTGACACTGTGTCGTGGCCTTTGTGTTCCTCCACAGAGCAGAGAGAACAGATACACTGCTGATCGGTGCGGCAGAACAGCTTCATCACCTCGTCGTGAAGAGAGCAGATGTTCTCCTGGAGCTTCTTGGAGGGCTCCACCAGCTTGTGTTTCTGTAATGCAGCTGATTCAAAGTGAGGCTGGAGGTGTGTCTCACAGTAAGAGGCCACACACTGCAGACAGGACATGAAGGCCATCAGTTTCCTCCCAGTGCAGACATCACAGGCCACATCTTCAGCTCCAGCATAGCAGTGATCAGCAGGAGAAGGTGGGAGTCCAGTCCTCTTGAGCTGCTCCACTAAAGCTGCTAACATGGTGCTTTTCAGCAGGACAGGCCTCGGTGTGAAGCTCTGCCTGCACTGAGGGCAGCTGTGGACTTCCTCTCCATCCCAGTGGCTGTTAATACACTTCATGCAGTAGCTGTGTCCACAGGGGATGGTCACCGGGTCCTTCAGTAGATCCAGACAGATGGAACAAGAGAAGGTTTCCCGGTCCAGCTGAACTCCTCCTTGTGCCATTTCACTTCTCAGTGTTAGTGATATGTTTTCTCTGGACAGAAACACTCTGTGCTCCCTCTGCTCTTGTTGCTGAAGTGACTGAGGAATCCGCTGAGAGAAGCTTGATGTGAAAGGCAGGGTGTGTTATCTGTCCTTTTTTAAACGACTTAGTTGAAAACTTTATTCTGATTGGTCAATTTGGACTTCCAGAAGTTGTTAATACTCGCTAACACAACGCTGTGAAGGAGAACAGACCGTTGATAAGGAGGAGCAGGGACTATGTGCAGTCATATCAATCCTCAGAAAGAAGTCCGGTCAATTTAACATCCGCTGTGGACAACAACAATATATTTCTCCATCAGGAAACACCATGAAATACTTTTTGAATATTCATCGATATATTTGTGACCACGAAAGTTTGGATTCATGATGGCTAAACTATCCTCATTAAAGAAAGGAAACGAAAAAGAGAACAAGAGAAGGAAAGACTTTAAAAGACAGATTGATGGGCATCAACAGAAGAAGAAGACAGACAGGAAGTAAACACTAACGGGAACAGCAGAAGAAGACAGACAGGAAGTAAACACTAAAGGGAACAGCTGAAGAAGACAGACAGGAAGTAAACACTAAAGGGAACAGCTGAAGAAGACAGACAGGAAGTAAACACTAAAGGGAACAGCAGAAGAAGACAGGAAGTAAACACTAAAGGGAACAGCAGAAGAAGACAGGAAGTAAACACTAAAGGGAACAGAAGAAGAAGACAGACAGGAAGTAAACACTAAAGGGAACAACAGAAGAAGACAGACAGGAAGTAAACACTAACGGGAACAGCAGAAGACAGACAGGAAGTAAACACTAAAGGGAACAGCAGAAGAAGACAGACAGGAAGTAAACACTAAAGGGAACAACAGAAGAAGACAGACAGGAAGTAAACACTAACGGGAACAGCAGAAGACAGACAGGAAGTAAACACTAACGGGAACAGCAGTAGAAGAAGACAGGAAGTAAACACTAAAGGGAACAGCAGAAGAAGACAGACAGGAAGTAAACACTAAAGGGAACAGCAGAAGAAGACAGACAGGAAGTAAACACTAAAGGGGACAGCAGAAGAAGACAGACAGGAAGTAAACACTAAAGGGAACAGCAGAAGAAGACAGACAGGAAGTAAACACTAAAGGGAACAGCAGAAGAAGACAGCCAGGAAGTAAACACTAAAGGGAACAGCAGTAGAAGAAGACAGGAAGTAAACACTAAAGGGGACAACAGAAGAAAGACAGGAAGTAAACACTAGAGGGGACAGCAGAAGAAGACAGACAGGAAGTAAACACTAAAGGGAACAGCAGTAGAAGAAGACAGGAAGTAAACACTAAAGGGAACAGCAGAAGAAGACAGACAGGAAGTAAACACTAAAGGGAACAGCATAAGAAGACAGACAGGAAGTAAACACTAAAGGGAACAGCAGAAGAAGACAGACAGGAAGTAAACACTAAAGGGAACAGCATAAGAAGACAGACAGGAAGTAAACACTAAAGGGAACAGTAGAAGAAGACAGACAGGAAGTAAACACTAAAGGGAACAGCATAAGAAGACAGACAGGAAGTAAACACTAAAGGGAACAGCAGAAGAAGACAGACAGGAAGTAAACACTAAAGGGAACAGTAGAAGAAGACAGGAAGTAAACACTAAAGGGAACAGCAGAAGAAGACAAAGACAGGAAGTAAACACTAAAGGGAACAGCAGAAGAAGACAGACAGGAAGTAAACACTAAAGGGAACAGCAGAAGAAGACAGACAGGAAGTAAACACTAAAGGGAACAGCAGAAGAAGACAGACAGGAAGTAAACACTAAAGGGAACAGCAGAAGAAGACAGACAGGAAGTAAACACTAAAGGGAACAGCAGAAGAAGACAGACAGGAAGTAAACACTAAAGGGAACAGAAGAAGAAGACAGACAGGAAGTAAACACTAAAGGGAAGAGCAGAAGACAGACAGGAAGTAAACACTAAAGGGAACAGTAGAAGAAGACAGACAGGAAGTAAACACTCAAGGGAACAGTAGAAGAAGACAGGAAGTAAACACTAAAGGGAACAGCAGAAGAAGACAGACAGGAAGTAAACACTAAAGGGAACAACAGAAGAAGACAGACAGGAAGTAAACACTAAAGGGAACAGCAGAAGAAGACAGACAGGAAGTAAACACTAAAGGGAACAGCAGAAGAAGACAGACAGGAAGTAAACACTAAAGGGAACAGCTCCCACAGAAGTGGATTCAAACATTACAGAGTTGCATATTAACGGCAAGAGTCTGAAAGTCTGAATGAGGATTGCTCGGGTTGTTTCTGGTTCAAATGGAGCCGTGGAAACATCTGCCAACCCGGAGCAAAAGCAACTCCCTCTCTGTTGATTCAGAGCTACACAGTTAGGTTTAAATTAATCGTTTTGTTGGAAAGAAGGACTCAGTACTTCCTCACTCTCATGTATAAGACCTTGAATACGCAAAAAAACTAAACTAAATGAAAAATATTTTACAGTAAAACCCATGTTATATTAATAATGTCCACTAATCCTGTAGATCTGGTGAAGAACTGTGATTACAATGAATGATAAAGTAAGAGAATACCTTCAGGAGATCCAGATATGAAGTCCTTTCTGTCTGCTTTTCATTTCTGCTCTCGCTTCCAGAGACCGCGTGAGTCACTTCCTGAGAAACTAAACCAGTCTGAGCAACAACAACATGTTGGACACACCCATAGTTACACACACACACACACACACACACACAAAACAATATGATCTTAGAAAATAATTATTATCAAGCTCTTTACTACATTCCTGGACGAGGAGCGGCACTATCTGTTAACCTGCTCCACGACTGAAAACATGTCATTGCTTGGTCGTAAAATACTTCCCTAAGGGTTAGCATCAGTACATTTGGATTTGTTTATGATTTCCTGTAACATGTTGCACAAAACCATCTCAGTGCAGCACTTCTGAGTAAAGCTATGGCAGATGCTATTTTATTTCTGTTTGAGTTTTTACATGTTGGATTGTTTATTTCTAGTCTTTTCATTTCTCTAATGTGTAATGTCTTGTCTTTTTATGCTGCCACGCAAACATTCCCCTAATTGGGATCAATAAAGTACTTCTTATCTCATCTTATGTTATCTTAGTAACATGCAGGCCTGTTCAGATAAGTCAAAGTCCACTTTATTGTCAATCTTCCAGTTTGTGTGTACAGAGAGATCGAAATACCGTTTCCCATAATCCCAAATATAATAACAAATGTATATCATCTGTTCCTCTGACTGCTATTCAGGTGCTTTTATTAACATGTATTGTAGTTGTATAGGTGAATGTGCTGGTATTTGTATGTTGCTATTTTCTTGCAGGGTGTTATTTGTAATGGTGGTGCATGTTGTTCTCTCTTCTGAGGCTGAAAATATGAATATATTCTTGAAAACGGAGGCGCAGTGGGTTGTACGTTGGTGTTCGGATCAGAGGAGCACAGGTTCAAACCCCACTGCAGTCAGCATGTCGTTGTGTCCCTGAGACACTTCACCCCAAATTGCTCCTGTGGGGATTGTCCACAGTATTGAGTATGTAAGTGGCTTTGGATAAAAGCGTCTAACAAGTGACATGTAATGTAATGTAAAAAACGTTAAGACAGAGACAGGAGTTTCTGAGATCGACGTGTTTTATTTAAGACCAAAAAGGGACATTTTTTAAAACCTCAAATAGACAGTTTGTGTATATGTGAGTATTTTAGTAAGAGCTGGATAGATGAGTCTTTGAAAGAGAGGAGAGGAAAAAAGTGAGGGTCGGTGTGTACTGTAGCTGTAAAACTAAAGTGTGTGTGTGTGTGTGTGTGTGTGTGTGTGTGTGTGTGTGTGTGTGTGTGTGTGTGTGTGTGTGTGTGTGTGTGTGTGTGTGTGTGTGTGTGTGTGTGTGTGTGTGTGTGTGTGTGTGTGTGTGTGTGTGTGTGTGTGTGTGTGTGTGTGTGTGTGTGTGTGTGTGTGTGTGTGTGTGTGTGTGTGTGTGTGTGTGTGTGTGTGTGTTGTGTGTGTGTGTTGCAGTCTGGATCACTACAGCCACATGAGTGACGTCCAGACTCTGGCCATGCTGTGCAGTGTGTTCAGAGCTCAGCCCCCCGCAGACATTTACTCTCTGTACGGACATCACCTCTCTCGATCCTCCGTCTTCCCCCCTCACCACTCTCGATATGTAAGTATGCTGGCCTCTCTGAATCCCCCTTCTCAGTAATTCATCTCGGGACCACCAGGTGATGTCGAGATGGTATATGGTATATTTCTGCAGCTCTAAAACATCCACAGTTTTTATGGAGAACAGTGTGAGTCTTTTTCAGTCTAATAACGGCTGTATGTTTTGTAGCCCAGCATCACGTCCAGCTCCGTCAACTCGGGCTCCTGCTCCAGCACCTCCGACTCCGTCGCTGCGGGCACCTGGAGCACAGGTCTGTTTACATCATATATTTAGTTTGAGTTTTTATATATTCTACATATATATATATATTATTTTTATTTTTTTAAATGTCAAGGTTTATGTTTTAAGATTATATATTTATTTTCTAATTTTAGGGTTTTTTATATTTAGTTTTAATTTTTTTATACATTTATTATATATTTAGTTTTATTGTTTAAACTTTTCTTATCAACTGTTTTAAATATTATTTTCAGTTGTTATGTATTAAATGTGTTTTTGTTTTTTGTGTTTATATATGTAGTGTATTTGTATCCTTACCCAGGTTGAACCCATATTATTATTGTCTGCAGGTAGAGACTGTGAGCAGGTCAACCCGTGGGCCGAGTCCTCGCCGGACGACCACCGCTGTGGCCCCCAGGGGCCGAGCGACCCCCGGGAACGAGAGCGAGAGCAGCACGACATGAACAAGAGGTGACGTAGCTTTAAAGAGGACGCGCAGGAGTGGGGAAAAAGATAGCGGACATTTCTGTCACAAATTATGTGCGAGAAATAAAAGTATAAATATACATTTTTATGTATATATGCTGTATATTTTGAATATTTGTACATATATTAAATATATGAATATTTATTTTGAGATATTTGAGTGTATATGTAGTCTTAGTGTTTATACATTTCTTAAAAATAAATGTTTAATGTTTTAACAATTAGTTTTAGTGCCTTTATATTTTAATTGTAAGTGTTTATATATATATATATATATATATTTGTAAAGGTTTATGTATTTATTTGTTATGGTTATTCATACATTTTTAGTGATCATATATTTAGTTTTAGTGTTTAATTTTTTTATATCAAGTTTGTGAATATAGTTAAAGGACAGGTGTCATGGCCATTTCCACTGATCATAATTCCATTGTTGAGGTCTACTAAAATAGATGTACACTGTGCATTGTTCCAAACTCACATTGGTTTCTCATACAGCATCTCTGTAAAGTCTGAGTATTCACTCTCTGTCCTAAACGGCTTGTTCGAGCTCCTGCCCCCCCTCCCTGTGAGCCCAGTGTGCTCTGATTGGTCGAGAAGCTGACAGGCTCGTTGCTGCTCGCACACACACAGACACACACACTGCTGCGGGAGCAGACAGGCTTGGCGATACAGCGAGAACAAGCTAAACTCATCCTGAGCACACACACTCACAGCCGAAATAAAAACACTAAGTGTGGCTTGATATTGAGTAAGAAAAAGGTTTATAACGCTGTGAGCATGGGTCTGCAGAGAGCATTTCTCCGCGATCCCAACGTAGTAGTCCGAAAAACGTTGACCCATTTAAACAGTCGTGGTAGATACCTTGTTTGTTTTAAACATCATAAATACACAAACAACAATGAATACTTACAGGTTGTGTACCCGAATCTCCCGCTGGTCCAAACAAAGTAGGAACAGCATCGTTCTTCAGTGCCCGACGCTGTACATATCCGGCATGAATCCTGAAAGGTTTGGGAAGCTTTGTTTCGTGAAAGGCTGGCAGAGAGTGCGGCCTCTGGGTATTCCCACGTCAGAGTACCCAGGAAGAAAATGAGAAATCTCCAACGAGGCGTTTTGGGGAGGTATTTTCTGAGTTAGAGTTTTACTCGCTACAGGGTGTACTTTCAAGGTTTTTGACTCTGCTCACCGTTTACATGCATAAAAACCTTCATAACACAAGGGGACGGGTAATAACCGGAAAAGCATGACACCTCTCCTTTAACCTGTTACGCACCCCCCCCCCCCGGTACCGGGCGGATAAACGCGTCATTTGCAGGAAACAACGTCTAAGGAATCTTAATATTTAATAAAACTATGAATGTTTTATATCCATGTAACGGGAAGAAACTCAGCTAACTGATCTTTTTAATTTTTTTTCTCCAAAAAAACCCCACAATGCTAGCACTCAGCCTCTGAATTAGCCACGAGCGAAAAAATGTAACCTAAAACGGCACCTAAACTCACAATAACTCCCTTATTACTTATCCTAGATGCACAGCCAACCACTCGTTTTGCATCAGCTGGAGACACTGAATCTAGTGGTGCCCACCTCAACACTCAGTGATAAACTTTTGCGACGCTATAAACGAAAGCGTACATCAGAACATGTGGAGCTAGGTAGCTACAAACGCTAACATGGCTTACCTTGGTCAAAACTGGTCTTCAATGGCATTAAAACGATAAAAAACGATGCTGCAGTTAATCCATAGGTTCATCCTATGTGTCTGTGCCCTCTTTGAAATGATGTCTGATAATCCATATTCACTTTGGTGCAAACCTGCATGCGGGAAGCCCCCACCGTTTGTTTTCACAACGAGTGTGTGTGTGGGCCTCCCCCTTCGATTCTATTGGCTCTAATGGTCAGAAAGAGGTGTCAACCATCAAAATCGAGCAAGGGGGGCCAGAGATATGGAAAAAAAAACATTTTCACCCAAATCCCCTCAGAGGTGGGGTGGTTTTGGCTAAACCTCTCTAAAAGGTCAAATGTCACTTGTTTTGCATCAATCTTGATACAGGGTACTTATTATATGTTGTACTTTGGATTCCTAAAGCTTTTAGTCTACTAACCCATCATCCAAGGGTAGTTTTCACTATCTGTAAAAAATAATGTTTGGACGGACACTATAATTTACAGTTTTTTACTATGTAAAATCTGAATTTTCTTTAAAATAAAAAACATCTATATTGATTCTGACACTTCTACATCCAACTCACAGAGGTAACCTTGCTTTGATAAAAGAAATTATTCATATAACCCTTTTAGAAGTTAGGTTGTAGTCATTTGTTTTGGGCATGTCATTTTCGAGCCTGAAACAGGAAAAACAGGCTTGGTGCTTAACAGGTTAAAACATTTTTAATGTTAGTATTTCTATTTATAATTTATATATTTTATTTGTATTTATATATAGTTTGTTTATGCTTATACATTAATAACATTAATTGAAAGAATATAAAAACATGCTTAATACCTAGAATATTTGTTGTTTCCTATAATGTTTGAAAACAGTTTTTCACGGATGATGTAATCTAGAACCAGCTGTTGTGAGGTACAATGTGTTAATAAAGTTGTATGTGCTTTGTGACATCACTTCCTCTTCCAGACTGCTGGACCCGACCAACACGCTGCAGTTCGACGACTTCAAGAAGAGTTACGGAGAAATCCTTCACCGCTGGGGTCTGAGGGAGAAGAGAGCCGACGTCCTCAAGTTCGCCTCCTGCCCTCCTGAACCCCACAAAGGCATCGGTATGTCCCTCTAGCTCTGCTGCAGAGATGCCCTATAATATATAGATATATATATAGAGAGAGATATATAGATATATAATGTGCAGCGAGGCATCTCTCCGTTGTTCCTCCTCATCAACGGTCATTATTTTGCTTAACAGCAGTGTGTTATCGAGTATTAGCAGCCTCTGAAATGTCCGAATCAGACCAATCAGCATTGAGTATTCAGCTAAGCCGTGTGATTTGTATTTGTAATGTTTAAATAATCAGTATTCAACAATACCCAGAGTGTGTGTGTTCTCTCTGTGTAGAATTCGGTGTGTATTGCTGTCACTGCCGCAGTCAGGCTCGTGGGACTCAGTGCGCTGTCTGTAAACGCCTCACCTTCCAGTGCGCCATCTGCCACGTCGCCGTCCGCGGATCCTCAAACTTCTGCCTGAGCTGCGGACATGGAGGACACACGAGTCACATGATGGACTGGTTCAGGCGGCAGGACGAGTGTCCGGCCGGCTGCGGCTGCCACTGCCTGCTGCAGAGCACCTTCTGACAGCACAGGGACGCCCCGGGACAGAAACAAACACACCTCCAGCTGCAGAGAGGAACCTTCTGACAGCACAGGGACGCCCCGGGACAGAAACAAACACACCTCCAGCTGCAGAGAGGAACCTTCTGACAGCACAGGGACGCCCCGGGACAGAAACAAACACACCTCCAGCTGCAGAGAGGAACCTTCTGACAGCACAGGGACGCCCCGGGACAGAAACAAACACACCTCCAGCTGCAGAGAGGAACCTTCTGACAGCACAGGGACGCCCCGGGACAGAAACAAACACACCTCCAGCTGCAGAGAGGAACCTTCTGACAGCACAGGGACGCCCCGGGACAGAAACAAACACACCTCCAGCTGCAGAGAGGGGTATCTGATGTAGCATCTACTAATTTAAATAATGATTCACTGACAGATTAACATAACATCATAACACAGAATATAGATGTGTGAAATGGGTTAGTACTACCTTTATTTTGGCATATTTTGAAAATGTAACTCATCATTATTCATAAGAACAAAGAGCAAAGATTGTTAAATAAATAAATAAGGTAAGGGTGATCCTTTATGTTATTATAAAATGTGTTTATTTGGCATATGATACTATAATAACTGATATTAAATACATTGATAATTATACATAAGCACTGGATGGAAATCAACGGCAATAATAGGAAATTAATAAATAAATAATTTCAAGCAGATTTCCACATGTCTTGGTACTTCCTGTTTAAATGTAATTGCTATTACTTTGCATAGCCTCGCCAGCTCTATCAAACTTTACTGACAAAATAAACAGTTTTTAACTGAACTGTTAAGTTGTCACAGTTGTTTGGAGCTGCTGCCGGGTCTGCTTAAAAAAACACGACAACAATCTTTTTATAATTCCCCTCACTGCCTGAACGTAGACACAGGTCCGCACTGTCTGACCACAGGGGGTTAAACAATAGCTAAGGTTTATTAGCTAAATAGCAATAAGTGGTGGTGCACCAGGAGCTACAGAGCGGGCCGCCAACAGCAATGTAAGATAGTGTTGGTGTTTCGGGTCTGACCCGGATCCCAGCTGAACAGATTGTGGGACACAGCAGGAAGAAGTTTCAACACAGCGAGTCCTTCCTTTTCAAAAAGAGTTCACTTTATTAACAAAGATTAACCTGTTAAGCCCGAGAGACCCTCCCGCAACATCTTGCAAGAAACAGTGTCTGAGGGCATGTTCATTTAATAAACTATGAATGTTTTATATCCATGTAACGGGAAGACACTCATCTAACTGATCATTTTTATTTATTTTTCAAAAAAAACAACACAATGCTAACGCTGAGCCTCTGAATTAGCAACGAGGGAAAAATGCTAACAGATTACTGTAATGTTTAGATGGATTTTAGGAACCTCCCCTCGATTCTATTGGCTCTAACGGTTAAAAAGAGATGTCAATCATCAAAATCAAACGAGGGGGCCAGAGATATGGAAAATGCACCCAAATGACCCCAGAAGTGTTTTTTTTTGTTGCTAAAACTCTAAAATATTATTAATTTAACCCTTTTAGGAGGGAAGATATGGTCATTTGTTCTGGGAATGTCATTTTCGAGCCTGAGACCTGAAAAACAGGCTCAGGACTTAACAGGTTAACAAAAGGTTCAAAAGGTCTCCCTTGAAAAAGAGATCTATAGCCGCGTTCACACCGGAGTACTTTTCACCGTACTTTTCGCGTTTAGTTCCGTTAGTACCCCTTATGTCGCGTTCACACCAAAAAGAGTACTTAATCTCGGGAACTTTTACCCCCATTTTTAGTGCCCGCTGAGAGATCGTACTTTCCTGGGGAAAAAAGTGCCCCAGTTCTGATTGGCTGGGCGAATTGCAAAAAGCAGTTATGGCAAGCATCAAGACATCATCGGAGCGGTGGAGTGATGAGGAGGTGTCGGCGCTTCTGGAAATCTACGCAGAGGACGCGACCCAGGGAATGCTACTGAAGCCAGTTCAGTAGCTTTCACTCGACCTGGGAATCGTGCACAGTGCCACGGCATACCGGCTAAAAATAAAGAAACTCAGGCAGGACTACAAACAAATTAAAGACTATTATAACAAGAGTGGTAACGACCGGAAGACCAGTAAATGGTACGAGCGCTTGGATGCTCTGCTAGGCCACAGACCTTTTCTCCGGGACAGCATCGACCTTCGATTCGGGCACGATGGTGTGGGAGGCCACTCAAACGGCGGATTCAGTTGCCAACGATGACGACCACGACGAAGGTAAAATCAACTACATGCACTGGGGTTTTAATCTGCACAATAATGGTCTCAGATGTACTTTTATTTGCTCAGTAGATCAAGCTAGCCATGCTAGGCTGAACTGGCTAACACCGGCCCCGAGCTAGCTAATAACATCTAGCTAGCTAGATATTCTCGGCCGCTATGAAAACGTTTTGACTTGTGAATAACTGTGCAGTGTTTCTGTAATTTGCTTCACTAACTCATGGTCTAGTAAACACATTCTTAGTATGTTGTAAAACTACATGGCGACTAAACAGATCTTGTATCTTGCTTATTTTCCCTCTTAGGAAAGCGGGCACGGGATGTGAATTTCTTTGACACCGTCGAGGCGTTGGAGGACCGGCGTGCCGTGGTGAAAGAGTCGATGCACGGGGATCAGGTGGTGCTGTTCACCAAGGCCCAGGAAACGGAGGACAAGATGCTCACGATGATGGAGCACCAGGCTGAAGTGTCGGTGCAGGATGAGCGACAAACCACTTTTCAGAATGGGTTTCTGGAAGTGCTTTCCCAGCTAGTGAAAGCCAACAGGTCTTCCTCCCTATAGTTGCCACTGTTAACAATGTCTGCTGCTGAGCCTATCCCTACACCTGGGACAGTTCATTTTATATTATTGTTATTACTGTTATTATATAGTCTTGATACAACTGACACTTTATTTTATATTGATAATGTTAACTTACATGTACAACTTCTATTTTATTTACATTAAAAATGTGAACTTCTATTTACTGTTATGTCTTGAGAGTGCAATAAAGAGAACCTACATGGCGATTAAACAGATCCTGTAGCTTGCTTATTTCTCCTGACACTTTATCTTTAGTGACCTGTGTAGCATCCTATACATCACATGTAAGTGATTATTCTGATACCATCATGTTTCATCGGTTATAAAATGGCAAAGCTTTATTTGTCATTTATTTATCATCAATGTTGCAACCTTGTGGAGGAATGGCAGGGGCACATACACAAACATGATAATTTATATCATTTTAAATATTACTTGACCTAAAACTAAATGTTTTTATGATTGTCCTCTGAGGAGGACATGGGGATTTGCAAACTTTTAATTCCCCCCCCCATTTTACACAACACAAAATGGAGTCCACTATGGGCCGAAACTAACATATATGTTTCCATAGTGTTTATGGCAGACGGATGCAGTGGGTCTCAGGAAGATATATAAATAATAAAGGTGGGTTTGCTGCTGAGCCTATTTACTGTGCATACAACACACCTGGCACAGTTTATTGTTATTATATTGCCACACTGTACACTATTGTAATGTTGCCTGTCTTGACTGGAAAATAAAAGAGAGAAACAAAAGCACTGTACAAAAGATCAGCTTTATTGTCAAAATGTTTACAATGTACAGTTTACACGCTGTTCAGATGCCTCATAAGGGCTGTGCGCGTGGCTGGCCCATCAAGCTGGGTCGCCGGTAAGGCAGTCCATTCGTCCCTGTACTCATTACTTTCACAAAGGTTATGTAATATGCAACATGCTGCCACCTGGGTTTTGATCTTGTCCATCTTGCAGTCGTTTCTTTTCATCAAGCAGCGCCACCTGCCCTTCAGTCTGCCAAAAGCGTTCTCCACCACTCGTGCTCGGCTTGTTTTGTTATTGTACGCAAGTTGCTCAGGCTGCATTAACTCCGTTACAAAGCTGTATAACATGAGCACAAACAGCACAACTTCAGTCGACTCCATCTCCATCATGTCTGAGGTCGGAAGGTAAACAACAGACGCCTAATGTACAGCGAGTGGGTGGGCGTCGCAGTATACGCGGGAAGTTTTTCTTCTTCTCTTGTTTTTGCAGCGGATTGCAAACAACTTTAAGGTGCATACCGCCACCTACTGTACTCGCCGTGAAGTGGTTTGTGGCCTGCCAGTAAAGCCAAAGCAGAAGAAGAAGAAGTGACGTCAGCGGCTCATTTGCGTAATCTTCCCTCAGGGAAAAGTACTCCGGTGTGAACGCGATATGTACTAAGTGCCCTGGGGTAAAAAGCGCCGGGGCTCTGAGTGCCGGAACTAAGTACAGGAAAGTACTTGGTGTGAACGCGCCTAATGGGACCAATCTGGTTAAATAAAGGTTTGAAATGAAATGAAATGAAAAGCATCAGGATGAAATGTGAACTCACATTAGCTCGTGATATCAACTAAACGATAAGAAATCAGCCGTTGCTTTTTCTTGTTCAAAGTGAGAGTCACTTTGGTTTTTATGTCTACGTTTTTGGTCACAAACTGAGCAACCAAATGGTTTCTCCCATGTGAATTCTCACGTCTCTTCAGAATGTCTTTCAGGCGTAATATGTTTTTTATTATAAAGTCATGTTCTTGGCTAGCTCTGTCAGTGATAAGTGTTCGTTACTTTTGTGTTATAATAGCACAATGGACTTGTTTCTGTGCTTAATATTTGTTTTAATGCATATTCAGACTTGACTTAGAGCAGTGGTTCTCAAACTTTTTCTGTTAGACCCCCCCTTTGGAGAAAAAAAAAAGTCGGGCCCCCCCAACACAAGTCAGGCTCAGTGGCGGCGCCAGAGATTTATTTTGGGGGTGCTGTGGGGTAGCTTGACGTTTCATAGAGGGTGCTCAAACATTTAGGGTTTCCCATTAATGTACCGGTCGCTACAGTGGAACTTTCTACTGCAACACTCCCCACGCAAATACACAGTGTACCCACGACTGTTACAATGAAGGCTCGATAATCAGCTCACGGCATATAGGTGTAAGCAGGGGTAAAGTGCTATTTTTGCAGGTGGTGTGTGGACCTCACATAGGGGGGTCCGGGGGCAACCTCCCCCGGGAAGATTTATTTTTAAATATTGAAGTTAAAAGCATCAACCTGGTGCACTTTGAGAGCAACATGGAGAGATCTATGGATACATCTCTCAACACCCATATGAAACTGAACTGTAAACAGATTTACTTTTTATTTATGGATATTTTACAAATCACCCTTTTAAACTTTATTCTTGTTTTACTGTCATATAGTATCTCATACCTGTTTTTCATTTATTCTCTTATTTTTTTATAACTATAATGATCATATAAACGTGTGCCTCGGTAATAATTGTTTACATTAATGGTGACCAAAACGTTTGAGACCCACTGAGATAACACTGAGAGAGTCCTTTAGCTCACTGAGTCTCTCTGACAGGAGAGGACTCTCCTCCACTTTGTTGTTGAAAAAACTCCTTATATCCGTTAGCGTAGCTCGTTAGCACCAGAAGCTAACAACAACGATCTCAAGTACCGGTGCGCTCTCTCTCTCTCGCTCGCGCACGCACACAAAATGGCTCGTTCCACACACACACAGAGCCGAGCTTTAATGAAACACAGAGACCCAGACGTAATAGTACTGTACTGTATCATATTATTTTCGAATCAATGATCTTTCAAATTATGATTTTTTTCTTTTTTTTAAATAATTGTTTTTCCTCCTGGTCTCTCGCTGTCATGCCTCTGCCCCCCAGGGGGGGCGCGCCCCCCACTTTGGGAACCACTGACTTAGAGCAATGATATTTTATCACACTCAGAGCAGGTATCACGTTATACACACTTACTGGGACCAACTCAAAGAGTTTAAACCTAATAATAATAACTGTCTTCATTGTCAGGTTCAGAAGAGTCTCCAGGGTTGTCCTCAGTCTCTGGTTGTAAATGTCTCTCTGGATCTGAGTTCCTGGCTCAGTGTTTCCCCTACATTTGTCTTGGCGGGGCGCCCCGCCTGAAATTCAACGTGTTTTCTTTTTCTTTTTTATTAAAAAAAATATATATATATAGCACCAAATTGCAACTGAAGTAATCTATCTACGGTCACTTTTCATATTGAACATGTGCTCTTTTATTAAATAAACTAAACGCCTATGTTATTTATCCAATGTATGTGCATGTTTCAGTGTCCACTGCTTTGCGTATTCACATTCTCCCTTGCTCTGTTTCTGAAGGGCCGCTCCCCCCCCCTCACACACCCTCACACACCCCCACACACACACACACACACACGAATGCACACACTCACAATCAGAGACAAGAGCGGAGGAAAGGAGGAGAACAACAAAGTGTAAAAAAGTCAAACAAATCTGCATTATTGCCCCGAGCTCTGCTGTCTGCCCGTTTGTGTCCCCCCCCCCCAGTTTCAAATTAGTTTATTATTATTTTTTAACCTAAAGTCGTTATCGATAAAAAAAAGAAATTCAATTTTTTTTTTTTTTTTTGGGGGGTACCTGAGCAGCACCCTGCCAAGGCAGTAAACCTAGGGGAAACACTGCCTGGCTGGTTCTGGTCCTCCACAGTCCTCTCCATCAGCTTCTGTTTCCATGTGTTCAGCTGAGCTGCTGGCTGGAGGCTCTGCCTCTCTGATCTCCTCAGTTTGAGTTTGATGAAGCTGTGAGGACTGACGAGCAACACACTTATGGATTTTGACCTGATATCTCTGCGTGAATCTTTTGTCACAAACACTGCAGCTGAACGGTTTCTCTCCTGTATGCATTCTCATGTGTGTCTTTAAATATCCTCTCCGTTTAAAAGATTTATCACAGACTGAGCAGCTGAATGGTTTCTCTCCTGTATGGATTCGCAAGTGGTCCTGTAAAGTTCCACTGTGTGTAAAAGAGTTATCACAGACTGAGCAGCTGAATGGTTTCTCTCCTGTATGGATTCTCATGTGGCGCTTCAAAACTCCTCTCCGTTTAAAAGATTTCTCACAGACTGAGCAGCTGAATGGTTTCTCTCCTGTATGGATTTTCATGTGTTCCTTTAAATTTCCGCTCCGTCCAAAAGAGTTCTCACATACTGAGCAGCTGAATGGTTTCTCTCCTGTGTGGTTTTTCATGTGTCGTTGTAAAAGTCCTCTCAGTGCAAAAGCTTTCTCACAGACTGAGCAGATGAATGGTTTCTCTCCTGTGTGGTTTCTCATGTGACGTTGTAAAGGTCCTTTCAGTGCAAAAGTTTTCTCACAGACTGAGCAGCTGAATGGTTTAACTCGGGTGTGTATTCTCATGTGTCGCTGATAATTTGCACTCTGTGCAAAAGCTTTTTTACAGACTGAGCAGCTGAATGGTTTCTCTCCTGTATGGATTTCATGTGGTCCTTTAAACTTCCACTTTGTGTAAAAGATTTCTCACAGACTGAGCAGCTGAATGGTTTCTCTCCTGTATGGATTTTCATGTGATCTTTTAAACTTCCACTCTTTGCAAAAGATTTCTCACAGACTGAGCAGCTGAATGGTTTCTCTCCTGCACTACGTCTTGATTCACTGACAGGGTCTTGATTATTTTTCTGAGAGTTTGAACCTGGTTCTCTGGTCTCCTTCCAATCAGCCCTCTCTTCAGTGTCAGGTTCAGAAGAGTCTCCAGGGTAGTCCTCAGTCTCAGGTTGTAAATGTCTCTCTGGATCTGAGTTCCTGGCTGGTTCTGGTCCTCCACAGTCCTCTCCATCAGCTTCTGTTTCCAGGTGTTCAGTTTGTCTTTGATGAAGCTGAGAGGACTGAGGTTTCTCTTCATCATCTTCACTCTTCACAGGGACAGGAGTGAATGTGAACTTGATGATATCAGCCTCCTCCAGCCCTTGAAGCTGCTCTCCCTCCTGACTGCTCCAGAGTTCCTCCTGCTCCTCTTTAATGTGTGGGGGGGGCTCTGGGTCCTCCTGGTCCAGACTGGAGCTCCACTCCTGCTGCTCAGGGGGAACCTCTTCTTTAACCACCACCAGCTGCTGGACGTCTGCAGGAAACAGAAAACACACGTGAAATTTCCGTAAAATCTAAAACTCTGTCTTTTTCTGAAAATCTCTGGCTGAGAAGATAGATGTCGATCCCCTATTGATTTACATTTAAATGTTTTTGGGGACTAATAGAATAGGTTTACAGAGCTGTTGTGTTAAAACAAAAAGATGTTTCTAGATCAATGTATATTGAATTTTACAGCTGAACATGTTTAAGGTTGTGGTTATCCAATTTACTATGGAGGGAACCTACCAAAATAAAAACGAAATAATTTATTAAATGAAACGAATAAATAAACGTAGGCATTGTTTGATCGGTGAAATGTGACCTGAATTTATATTCTTGTTTTCATTTTCTATTTTATTATTTATCCTTAGCATTTATTCTGGCAATAATAATATTTCAGATGTATTAGATCATAATAAAATCTATTAACCTTGATTATTTAACCCCACAGCTATCCAATAACATGAATAAAGAGTCTAAACTGTTAATAGTGAACAGACCTGCTCTGTGGATCTGAAGCTGAGGCTGTAAAACAGCGTCCAGTAGTTTCCGGTGTCTCTCGTTCTCCTGTTTTGAACGAGACAGTTCCTCCTCGTACTCTGCTATCGTTCTTTCAAACAGAACAAAGATGTCTTCAGCAGCCGCAGTGAGTCGCTGCTTCACCAACGAGAGCAGCACAACACTCATGTTTACTAAATCACCACTTCCTGTTAGACACACTGTTTCTCCGTGTGCTTCAGTCTCTGTTAAACACACTGTTTCTCTGCGTGCTTCAGTCTCTGTTAAACACACCGTTTCTCCGTGTGCTTCAGTCTCTGTTAAACACACCGTTTCTCCGCGTGCTTCAGTCTCTGTCAAACACACCGTTTCTCCGCGTGCTTCAGTCTCTGTCAAACACACCGTTTCTCCGCGTGCTTCAGTCTCTGTCAAACACACCGTTTCTCCGCGTGCTTCAGTCTCTGTTAAACACACCGTTTCTCCGCGTGCTTCAGTCTCTGTCAAACACACCGTTTCTCCGTGTGCTTCAGTCTCTGTTAAACACACCGTTTCTCCGCGTGCTTCAGTCTCTGTTAAACACACCGTTTCTCCGTGTGCTTCAGTCTCTGTTAGACACACCGTTTCTCCGTGTGCTTCAGTCTCTGTTAAACACACCGTTTCTCCGTGTGCTTCAGTCTCTGTTAAACACACTGTTTCTCCGTGTGCTTCACTCTCTGTTAAACACACTGTTTCTCCGTGTGCTTCAGTCTCTGTTAAACACACCGTTTCTCCGTGTGCTTCAGTCTCTGTTAAACACACCGTTTCTCCGTGTGCTTCAGTCTCTGTTAAACACACCGTTTCTCCGTGTGCTTCAGTCTCTGTTAGACACACTGTTTCTCAGTGTGCTTCAGTCTCTGTTAAACACACTGTTTCTCAGTGTGCTTCAGTCTCTGTTAGACACACTGTTTCTCTCTGAAGCTTCCTGAGCTGCTGTTCAGCTGGACGGCAGGAAGCAGAGGTTTGGGAGGATGATGTCCCTGATGCTGTTTAGATTTCTCCAGCACCACGGGGGGTCCTGTGTGGATGGCAGCTCCTTCCTCAGCAGATCCAGTTCTCCAGAATTGTCCTAATTACAGAGAAAACAAGAGAAAAATAAAAAAATGAATTAATAAACACAAAATGATGATTGCAAAATGTAACTCAGCATTACAGACAAACCATCCCTAAAGGGTTACTTAACCCACGGGCGGGGGCAAAATGCAACATCTTGCAAGAAACAGCGTCTGAGGGCTTCTTAACATTTAATAAACTATGAATGTGTCATACTCACTTAACGGGAAGAAACTCAGCTTTCAGACAATATTAACCATGTTTAGCTAAACGAAACAAATGAGTAAAAACAAAGGCTCTGAATTAGCCCTGAGCGAAAAAATGCTAACGCAATTAGCACAGAACTCAAGGTAAAATACCCTTGTTACTATTAATATATCGATTAGAAGGCTGAGATTCCACAGATTCCAGACATATAAGTATAATCACTGAGCGATCAGAACTCGTGACAGGGGAAGCAAACATAGACATCACAACACGTAGCATTACGGAGCAAACACGGGAGAAATTCTTACCTATGCTGTTGTTCTGATCAAAAGTTGTGTTCAATGGCAATAAAACGATAAAAACACTGCTGAAGGTCACGGCCTTCCAGCACAAACCGGAAGTGCCGCACGGCCAGCCAGAGTCCAAGGAGCTCCCGGTCAAAAGCGCTGTACCTGAGTTCCCTGGGCGTCAGCTGGCGGCTGAAGAAGGCGAATGGTTGCCAGGCGCCCTCCACCCACTGCTCATGCACCGACGGCGTAGTCCGATGCGTCTGTGGTAATGGAGATGGGGGCTGTGGATGACGGATGCGCCAACAGGGAGCCAGCGCGGTCTTGACCTCCTTAAAGGCAACCTCAGCCTCCGCCGTCCAGTCGATCTCCTGGATGGGGGCCTTACCCTTCAATGCCTCATACAGCGGCCGCATAATGTGAGGAAACGCCACGACAGCCTCAACCTTCGCCGGCAGGGGTGCTGCCCCGCCTTTGGTGACGCGGTGCCCAAGGAAGTCAATGTCAAACACCCCGAACAGACACTTTGCAGGGTTGATTATCAACCCGTGTTGGCTGAGCCTCGTGAAAAGGGCTCGGAGGTGTGACAGGTGTTCCTCCTCAGAAGTGCTGGCGGCGAGTATGTTGTCCAGGTAGACGAACACAAACGTCCCGCAGCACCGAATCCATCAGGCACTGGAATGTTTGAGCGGCGTTCTTGAGCCCAAAAGGTATCCGCAGGAACTCAAACAACCCAAATGGCGTTATCACCGCCGCTTTGGGAATGTCCAGGGGATGCATGGGCACCTGGTGGTATCCACGCACCAGGTCCACCTTAGAAAACACCGGTCTACCCGCCAGGTGTGCCGAAAAGTCCTGAATGTGCAGCACCGGGTAGCGGTCGGGTGTCACGGCGTCGTTGAGGCGGCGGTAGTCCCCACACAGGCGCCAACCGCCATTAGGCTTGAGGACGATGTGCAGAGGAGACGCCCAAGGACTGTCAGACCGGCGGATGATACCCAGGCGTTCCATGGTAGAGAACTCCGCCTTCGCTACTGCGAGTTTAGAAGGGTTCAACCGCCGGGCCCTGGCGTAGACTGGGGGACCCTCAGTGGTGATGTGGTGCTCCAACCCATGCTTGGTGGTGGGCGCAGAGAAGGTGGGCAGCGTCAGGTCCGGGAACTCGGCCAACAACCTGAGATACTTGTCTGCACCCGACAGCGAGCCCGACAGCCCGTTATACGCCGCCTTGCCAACGTCAAGGCATCAACCAAGCATTTGTTTCTAACGTCCACCAGAAGCCCGTGAGCACATAAAAAATCTGAACCGAGGAGGGGAAAATAAATGTCTGCTGTCATGTCTCCCAGTTGAACCGCTGCCCCCCAACACATAAACCCATAGGCCTCACGCCATAAGTGCGGATGGGGCTGCAATTAGCTGTTGTCAACTGCGGTCCGTGCCCCCCCTAGAGTGAAGTCCTCCGTTGAGTGCCCGTGTCACAGAGAAACCAGCATCCCGAGACCAGAGTTCCCGTTAGAATATTTCTTTGCCGGTCATAATGTCCGTTAAAGTTGAAATCTTCCGGACAAAATGAGAAAAGTGCCGGTCAAAGGTCTTCCTTGTTATTTATTGAGCTTTAAAACAAATTGATATGATTCGACATTAAACAAACTAATTATAGTAGATTAACTACATTATTCAAAAGTGTACAGTAACTTACAAAAACACGGGAATAATAAACGGAGCGCTCTCTCTCTCCTGACAGCCCGTCAGTATCATGCAGCTCGCGGATCCAGTAATGAGTGACCCGACAGTAAAACTAAACATATCTATAACTAGTTTAGGTAGTTTGAGAGGTAATTAAAATAGCTACGTGTGATATTCTAACCTGAAGTGTGTTTTGCTCTGCTCACCGCTGCAGGTGATCATGCAGAGCTGCGTGTCGACTCGTCAGCAGCAGCTGATCTCTCGCTCCCGTCAGATTAGACTTCACTCGCGTTTATGTCCATATCGATCAGATCTAGCTAGTTCTAGCTAATGATATGACTACCTGCTTATTAAAAGACACCTAAACAATAAGCGTCGCTATGCAACCGGGTGAGGCCACAAAGTATAGCGCAGCATTATGCATTTGTTTACATGCCCACCGGAACCCCGAGGCATTACCAACAGATCAACACACAATCAACCCATACAGGACATCTCTTTCTCCACATTAAGTGTTAGACATTAGAATTGACTATTCTTGTCTGTCACATACTATTCTTGTCTGTCACATAAGTGGCGCAACTGATGCGGTATTGCTAAGGGGAAATTATTTTGAACGGACATTTTGACCGGAGAGATTTAGATTTACCGGTCATAGTCCGGTAATTACCGGCTAACGAGAACTCTGCCCGAGACACTGTCGCTAACGAAGAGAAGCCTGCTCGTGCCGCCAATGCTCAGGGCCACTACCGAGCGCCGGCCCTCTCGTTTCCCGGAGGTTTGTAGCTGCAGGGAGCGATGCACTTATTCGCCTTGGCCCCGAACCGCGCGTGGTGAAAACACCCTCCCGTGTCCCCACGCCGGCCTGGAGCTGCCGCGGTCTGCTCCCCCCCAAGCCCTCCTAACTGGCGAGGGGGCACTGAGCGTCGCAGCCAGCACATCTGCACTGGGCTGCTGGGTCGCCAGGAAGAAACGGTCGACCTCCTCAGCCAGGGCGCGGGGTTCAGTAATGGTCGTGTTGGCCAGCGCCGTCTGAGCTGGGACGGCTTGCTGTCCCCCAGACCTTGAATCTCAAAAATCTGGCGAGCCCTCTCCTTAGCAGATAAGCTAAATGTCTTAAGGAGAAGAGCTTTAATCGCCTCATATTTGCCGATAAATCCAACCAACCTGGATGACGTGGAGCTCCCCAGCGCCACCACCACGTGAAAATACTTCAGGTCCTCGTCACGGACCTGGCTGCAGGCAAAGTGCGCCTCCACGTGTGCGAACCACGTCGTAGCGGCATGTTCCCAAAACTCCGGCAGTTTAACATAAACATCGCGATTAGCCATGTTCACTAAGTCTTCGGAATCTATCTCGAAAACGTCGGGGTCACCAGTGTAGAGCCGATGAATGGGAGTCGGAGGCGGCGTGTTGAGTATGGAACTCCACACTTTATTTTTCATTAGTTTACAGAAAGGTAGGAACAACTTCATTACATGCTACTCAAGCTAGAATGATAACAAACCACAGGTGCGCTCCCTAACGACCCGTCCACACAGCGGCGTGTGTTGAAGCTTCAACGCTTCTGCCCATTCACTTTGAATGGGGCGACGTCACGCTTCGCCGAACTGCATTGTGGGAGCGAAGCTTTGCTTCAAAAGCGTTGCTCGCTGCAAAAGTTGAGCAATGTTCAACTTTTGAAGCTTCGGCGGAAGCATCAGCCAATCGAATCATATGCCAGTACAAGCTCTAGCCAATCAAACCGCGTGCTTGTGTGTCAGGGGCGGGAGATTCATGTGATTGGTTGTTGGTCGAGTTTCAGCCCCCTCCGCCGGCAAGCTTCAACGCACGCTGCTGTGTGGACGGGCCGTAACGCAGCCTACACACGGCGGCGTGCGTTGCCTCTTGGCGGTGGGCGTGTCTTGAGCTTGGGGAGTTTCCGCGAGCAACTCGACCAACAACCAATCACATGAATCTCCCGTGTCTCTCCCCAA